TCAATAATAATGCCAAGATAGCGAGTGCTCACTGCGATTGGGGGAGTATGCTTGTTAAGGGTAATAGGTGGGCATTTTCTCTTTCTAAGGGCGAAGGTACAGTGTGTCGATTTTGATTCATTTATTTTTACTCCCCACTCTTTATACCATTTTTCGAGAAGTGAGAGATGTTCTTGGATGAGTGGCGAGGCCACAGTAGGATCGTGGCTGGTGGCTATAAGTGCTTTGTCGTCGGCAAAGTCAGCTATGAGGCTCGTGGGTAGTATGGATTGGTCATATAAGAAAATATTAAATAGTAAGGCATCAGTGACTGCGTCTTGGGGGACTCCTGCTTTGATTGGTTTTGGAGAAGAGGTTGCTGAGCCATAACGTACCGAGAATAAACGATCTTCTAAGTAGGACTTAATTAAGAGGTAGTAATTAGATGGTAGGATGATTTTCAATTTGAATAGCAGACCTGCGTGCCAAACTCAGTCAAACGCTTGAGAAACATCTAGGAAGACCCCAGTGCAGTATTGTTTTTCTTCTAGAGAGTAAGATATTTTATCAACTATTCGATGGATTTGATGGACTGTAGAGTGCTTGTCGCGGAAGCCAAATTGTGAGTCGGATAGGACTTTTGTTTCATCAATAATATTTAGAATTCTTTTAGTTAGAATTTTTTCAAATACTTTTGATAATATTGGAAGTAGACTAATAGGCCTATATGATGACGAAAGGTGAGGCGGTTTTTTTGGTTTAAGAATGAGTATGATAGATGAGTACTTCTATAAGATAGGGAAGTAGGATAGTTGGAGCATTGAGTTAAATATGTAGGTTATTAGAACGATAACTTTTTGTGGAAGCTACTTTAGTATTTCTGAGGTTATTGAATCGTAACCAGGGGACTTTTTCCATGGGAGTTTGGATATGGTGTAATGAATTTCAGTAGGAGAGGTATGTTTTGGCAGGGATGACATTTGTAGTGGAGAGTTGAGAAATTGTTCAACTATGTTAATTTTTTCCGGAAGGAGAATGTTATTATGAGGTTGAAAGGTTTCAGCCAGGTAGTTTGCAAATATGCTAGCTTTGTCCTCGTCAGAGTGTACCCAATTACCATTAGTGTTTCGCAGTATCGCTGGAGGATCACGTATACGAAAAAGGTGTTTGGTAGCCTTCCAGAGAGAACCGTTTTTTGTCGTGAGTGATTCTAAATGTTTTGTATAAGATTCATTTCAGTAGTAAGCTATGGTCCGTTTTAGTTTTTGTGTAAGCACATTGTATTGGGATTTGTCGGAGGGATAATTTGTTCTTTGCCATAAGCAGCGGGCACGACGTTTTAGTGATATAAGGTTGCGAATGTATAAAGGAAGAATTTTGTTGGATATGCGTAGTTACGATGGTTTTGCTGATTCCCATGCTGAAACTTGTATGTTGGATGTGAGGAGATTCACAGCTTCATCAATATCGTTAATTGTTTTTAGGCGGAATTTTAGACTGGTTTTTTGTAAAATTGATTTATGGAAATTGTCCCAGTTGATGTGAGTATGTAACGGTGGTGGGTTATACTGGTTAGATAGAGGTTATGATAAGCTTTTAGAAAGCAATTTATTCCTTAAAAATTTCATAAATGAACTCAAAGAATTGTCTATTACTGGCATATCTACAAATGTTGGCCGAAGACGCATACAAATTATTGGGGTTTGTTGTGATGCACCTGCTAAGTTTTATTTTAAAATGCAAAAATCATAATGGGTTTTTTTCCTGTACAAAATGTACTACTGAAGGTCTTTATTTTCAAAACAGGGTTTGCTTTTCAGAAACAAATTTTTCAAAAAGGACACACTTAAATTTTTTACACCGAGTTGATGAAGAACATTATATGATGGATAACATATTTTTAATTACTGAAGTTCTTAACATTGATATAGTTAATGACTTTCCTCTTAATTATATGCACCTTGTGTGTTTAGGAATGACAAAAAAACTTATTTTATTGTGGTTAGACCATTTCAAAAATTCCCTCTTGTCTGTACGTTTACAAAATATTAAAGTACAAAATATTTCCAGTCATCTTTTATCTCTAAAACCTAATATGACCTATGATTTTTCTATAACTCCTAGAAGCCTTACAGAAATTCTAAGATGGAAGGCTGTAGAGAGTATAGGTTATTCCTTCTGTATACAGGTCCGATTGTTTTAAAAAATGTTATAAGTAAACCATGTTACTCACATTTTATATGCTTACATGTTTGCTTTAGAATTCTTTTAACACCAAGTATAGACATAAATCTGATAAATTTTACTGAATGATTATTAAAATATTTTATAAATAAATTTGGTGAAATATATGGAAAATAATTTATAAGTCATAATATTCATGGGTTGTTGCACATAGTTGACGATTACCGTAAATATGGAACTCTGGACGTACATTTGAAAAGCTCTTAGAGAAAATCGTCAAGAGGTATGATGAATTTTTAACTTTTACCGAGCCTAAAATTTCATTATCTTCCAATAACGAAATAGTGTTTAAAAAACTACATGATGAAGGGCCATTAGTCGAGCAGTGTTCTGGTCCTCAATTTAAAATTATGATAATGAGTAACTTTAAAATTAATATTACTTCTAGTTCTAACTGTTACATTGGATTTAAATCCAAAGAATATAAATTAAATATTTGTAAAGTTGAAAATATTATTAAAAATGTACTTGTTGTTAAATGTTTTGATAAAATTGAACCATTTTTTGTTAAACCGATTAATAGTTTAACATTAGGTATAATTGTAGTTGAAAATTTATCTAGTATTTATAAAAAAATAATTAATATTCAAGAAATAAAACTGAAAAAATATGTGATTTTTAATGACTCTGATAATGTAAAAATTGCTATCCCTATATTACATTCTAATAGTGAATTTTAATTTTATGTAATTTAATATTTAAATAGTGCATATATTTCTGTGTCCCTGAGGTAAATGAAACCATGTCACAAAATGATAACATTACAGGGAGTTCAATTTTCGTTTATTTTCATCTAAAAATAAATTTTTTTTTTTTACTAATTCGAATTACTTTGTTGCTCCTTATTTCCGTTACTTTTGATAACTTGACGTAGTTCCTTATATCTTTATATGGAACAAAAAATGTACAAGGACCTGAAGCTTACTAAATTTCTTCAAAAATGGACATGGTTTCCTTTACCTCCGGGGTACAGATTTGTATTCTGTAAAAATAATCTTTATTTAGATGTAATTATACTTGTATTTTTCAATGAATATTTTGATATAAGTTAATTATAATTAGTATTTAGAAAACATGTTTTTATTTATTTTAAGTAGGAATTTATTGTAAAATATGTCGTCCTACTGTGTTGTAAATTTTCTAAATGATAACTCGGTTGAAGCACTTCCTAGTACCTGGATAAAAGCCGGTAAAAAGCCTGGTGTTAATGTATGTGCTTAGCCTCATGATAAAGCATGCATTATCAAGTACATTCAAAATAAATACATGCCAAATGAAATAAACTTTAAGTATTTCAAAGTACGAGTACTCAAAAAAAATTTGGGTAAATTCTTTAAAATTGTAATTGCAGTGCTTTGATTTATTAATTACTAATTTTTTATTGAGTAATCTTAAATAGGGTCACTAACAAAGGCTAGAGATGTAGCAGACGATGCTAGGTATAAATCAGACTTTATAAATAATGATGAAGATGATTTACTCAACATCAGAAATGTTATTAAGTCTCCTACATCATCAACTTCATCTATGCCCATTTATGACGGTAAAATAAATATATGGTACAATAGTTAATTTTTTTTAAAATTATTTCATTTTGTATTCAGATGAAAAAGCTAATGATAAAAGATCTCTCAACAAGAGTATTAACCTACATTCTAATCCTTCCAAAAATCTATTAGGTAATAATAATTAAATATTAAATTATATTAATAAAAAAACATCTACCCATTTATATTTCAAAGATGCCAAATATTGCATATTTTACAGATAAAAACAAAACCATGCAGGGACTTTCTTATTTTGAAAAACCAACACCCACTCAGTAAAAAAAAATGAACAAACAAGTGAGTTATGTTTAATACTATATATAAGAATATTTCTGTTATATAGTATTAGTTACACCAAAAAATTTACATTTTGATAACTTAAATGTTTAACAATATCCATACTATAGGTTATATATATCATACAATATTATAATAACTATATTTTAGATATTCCTATATTAAATCTAAGTAATATTTGTTTTAATGAATTTGAAGAAGCTTATTGTGATAATCATACTCTCGACACAAGTAGAAACTATGAACATTATTATATTTATATTATTTAGTTTTTGCTGTTACTTATATCCAAACAACATTTACACAGTTTGTTCATTAGTATAAATACTAATGAATTATTTTTTTATATTAACATTATTTTTATTAATTAGAAGTATGTAAAATCTAATTTCAAAATCAATAGTTTTAAATTATGTAATATAAATTAATTTTTTAGATTAAGATTATTTAGGTATAATTTTGGTAATATTTAGATTAAAGAGTTTAATTGTATAAATAGTGTATTTCAAATCAAATTTACAAATTGCTTATTTAGTATTTTTCAACAAAAAAATTGGTCCAATTTTGTGTTATTTATCTTCAAAATTAATAAATAAATTCAAAAATATTGAGTAGAGTAAAAATTATTATATTTGTCAGATCTCTGTGATACCCCCTTTTATACTGTTAATTAATTGTTAATTACTTTTTAACAATGCTTAATTATTATTATTTTTAGATAACCAACTAAATGGTTTAAAAATAAGTAATGTTGTAGAAGGTTTGTCAAGCTTTATTTCTAATATCACACAACCTGTAGGTAATGTTATAATATACAATAATATTTCATAAATTACACAAGTAAAATTTTTACAGTCGTATACAAATATTTACTATACATTATTATTTTATTATTCAGGAGATATTGAATTCCCAAATTATGTGAATAAAAATATGGCTTTTTTAAAAATTGAATTAAAACAAATTCAAAGCAATCAATTGGTCATTTTGAATCATTTAGAGTCTTTACAGTTACAATTGGAAGATCAACCTTGGACCTCTAACAAACATTTTCCAGTCAGTCAGTTAAATGATTGTCCATTACCAATAGACAACAATACAGACTTACAAACTTTTGAAGAGAAAATTGCTGGTGATAATGAATTTAGAACATGTTTGGTAATATTTATAATTTATAGTAATTAGAAAATTCATAATATAATATATTCATCTAAAAACAAAACAAATAATTTCTAGGTTAAGGAACTTACATATATAGGTGGGAAACGTTTCAAGGCAATGGTGCGCAGAATAATGTACAAATTATGTACAGATGAGTTGCTACAACACTATTCTTACAATGGAAAAAAAGGAAAAACTCCATTTTGTTCTTTGAGCATTTGTAGTGTTATATTTGGTAAGAATATATTTATTTGTTATAATTCCATATTTTTTACGCATGTAAAATATTTGCAATATAATACTTAATATTATTTATAATGAATATTTTATTATTAAAAATATTGAACATTTACTAATACATATTTTGGGTATTCTGTAATCTATTCAATATAAGAAGTGATCCGGGCAATGACTGGTTTCTATTTTTGTTATTTACTTTTTTATTTAATTAAATATAATATATAATATTGCTTTAAAATTTCAGATGCTGTAAAAAAACAAGGAAAGTTTAAACATGTATGTCAAGATGAAATAGAAGAAATCATTAAATATATTTTGGTTCAAGCTCCATTTACTATCAAAAGACACATAAAAAAGAAAATCACTAAATAATTTTTTCTATTTTCTATTAAATCTTGTTATGATTCAATAAAATAAACAAAGTTAATTTTAATACAGTATTTCTAATTCATTTAGATTTTAGATTACCCGATCATATAATATAATGTATATTATGAGCATGGCTCGAGACTTATAGCACTATAAAATCATGTAATATGTGCTATTATATGCACCGAAAAAATGTAAAATATGGACTATAATATGCACTAAAAATATGAAAATATGCTTTAAAAATTATTTATTTAAAATTTTTATTTAGAAATTTATGAATTTATAATTATTAAAATTTAAAGAAAAATTTTTAAATAATTTTACAGTTATAATTTTCTACAAATAATGACTAAAAACTCTTTCCTATTCTCATTAATTTGTATGTGTCGAATTTTGCCAATCTGTAAAGTATAATTATTTCTAATCAATAAATCATTAAAAAGTAACTTACAGTACCTTCATATTTGCACTGTATTATTATGTGTTTCCGAATATTTTCAAACTTGAAAGATCTTCTATTATTGCTTAATAATGTTTTGTACACGGAAAATGAGCGCTCTACACCGACCGATATGATGGGAGCGGACTTGAAAGAATATCACGACTAGAAATGTCTTCTGGAAACCCGTTTAATCCTTCAATGTCTCCAGTACCCTAACCATACTCCTAAACTAACCGATAACATGCGAGAAATATTTTTTAGTTTTGACTGTATTTTTAACCCAATTTGACCACGTAGTGTTTCGAATGATTTTTCTACATCATTTATTATTTGAATTGAGTCAAATAATAACAAATCTTCTTGTAGTTTTTTAAAGATGTAGTCAGAGTTGAAAATTTTTTTTTTGTCATATTTGTTTTTTATTTGTACAATTTGTATAAAAAATATAATTACAATAAACACAATGGAGGGGTAATACAATTATAGAGAATTGGTCATGGTTGGCTTGAAGAAGAAGCTATTCATTAATAGCACTTCATAACGGGATGGTGGACTAGTCGACTAGTAGGTCACGGCACCAGCTACGCTTTAAACGTCGGCCAGGGTCGCCTGGGATTGTTCGGGAAGATAGGTTTTGGATGAGAGGGTTTCGGTGATTTGAAAGTTTAAAGTGGAAACGTTTATATAGGGTTTTGGAGATTAAGTAGAAGCTGGAAGGAAATATTGATTTTAATTTGAAGAGGAGGCCGTGATGCCATACCTTATCAAACGCTTTTGCTACGTCTAAGAAGGCGCATGTGCAGATTAGTTTCTTTTCAAGAGAATAGGAAATTTTGTCAACTATACGATGAACCTGGTGTATGGTAGAGTGGTTATTACGAAATCCGAATTGATTGTCTTGGAGGTTTTTGTCAATGGTTGGGTAAAGGCGTTTAAGTGTGAGTTTTCAAATACTTTGGAGAAGAAAGGTAGAAGGCTTATTGGTTTGTATGAGCTGGGAGAGTTAGCGGGTTTCCCGGATTTGAGTATCATAATTATGATCGAGAATTTCCAAAGTAGAGGAAAGTATGAGAGTATGAGCATGGAGTTGTAAATGTGCGTGAGTGATAAGTTGGCTTTTCTGGGAAGTTGGGAGGCGACTTCTGATGTAATGAGGTCGTAACCTGGGGTTTTATGACGCGCAGATTTATTGATTATAAATTCGACTTCACTGGGTCTGATATGTTTTGGCGGAAGGGTCATAGGTAGTGGACTGGATAGGAAGTGGTCGACTTCAACTATTTTGTTACGGGGTATGATGTCAATATGTGGCTAGAACGTTGTGTGTAGGTGATGACGAAAAGCATTAGCTTTTTCTGAGTCACTAGTAAGTCATGTGCCGTCAGGGTTTCTCAGAGGGAGTACTGGTGGTTGAGAGCGGAGAATTTTTTTGGTGTTTTGCTAAAGAGAATTGTCGGTGGTGGAAAGGGATGTGAGATGGTTTGTTAAGTTATCGGATTTGATTTTAGCTAGGAATCTTTTGAGTTTATTGGTGAGGTGATTAAATAGTTGTTTGTCAGAGGGATATTTAGTTCTTTGCCAAACAGCGCGTGCGCTTCTTTTTTCCGATATTAGAGTTCTGACAAAATGTGGAAGATCAGAGGTGGGTTTATTAAGTGGGTTAGGAATAGTGGAGGAAGACCAAGCTGCTTGTTGAATTGATGTTGTGAGGGTATTAACAGCGTCGTGTAATTATTTCGTTGCGATAGGTTATATAGGGTGTTACCGCGAGGGTTGTTGATGCGACAGCCCCATTGTATGTTTTTCGCGTTTAGATCGCCTCCGATTATAAATCTTTGGCTTAGTGTATTAAAGAAGTGCTGGAAGAGAGTTGGTGTTATGGAATGACGGGGCGGGCTGTATATGGCATAGATATTGATTGGAATATTGTTTAATATTAGAGCAATTCCGCAGGCTTGTATATGGGCTGTTTGGTACTGAGGAAGAGGGTAGAATAATAGTGAGGTTCTTATAAAAATATCAGCGCCAGCATGGGCTGTGCCATCTGGCTGGTTCGATTTAATAATGTGGTAACCAGGTAGGTTTATTTGTGTGGTGTTGGTTAGGTGTGTTTTTGAAATAAGTGCAATATCAATTCTATTGTTTTGGAGGGTGGCCAGTAGTTCGTTTCTACGGTTAATTAGGCCATTAGAGTTCTAGGTTAAGATGAGGAGAGAGTTGGACGTAAAGTTATTGGTTTGCATTTTATTTGTTTATATTATTTATGAGGTTTGTGAGGACTTGGGTGAGAAGGGATAGTAGGGGATTTATGATTGATTTAAATTCATCAAGAAATTTAGTGAGAGAGGTCTCATTATCAGTTGAGTTGGACTGGTTGTTGGGAGGGGGACCCTTAGTCGTGTTTGCATACGTACGTGGGTGCGGTGAGGAATTTTCATTAAGTTGAGATTGGTGTTCTGAACTGCTGGAGGTGTAGGGTGGCTGTGGTTGAGATTTGTAGCTTGAGATGTTGGTAGTTTTACTTGAGATGTTGGCGATTTTACTCGAGAAGTTTGGACGCTTCTGCCAGAGTTGTTTGAAGATGAGACAACCCTTATAGTTTGCATGGTTAAGCCTGAACAGAGGGCACATTTTGCAGGGAGCTCTGGAGGTTTTATACATGATAATGTTGGGTGGCAGTCGCCGCATTTGACGCATTTAGGGGGGTAAGCGCAGTAGGTTCGGGTTTGGCCATAGGACTGGCAGTCAAGGCATTGCGGTATTTCTCGTTTTTTATGTAGTTCTTCTATTTTGACTTTTGTATGTAGTAAGGCAGTGATGGAGAAAATATCGTTGTCACTTTCTTGAGGGTTTAGATCAACAAAGAACATTGGGAGTGGTGATTTTGTTTGATGGTGCCTGATGTTTATTACATTTTTGACTGAGTGGCCAATTTCTTCGATTGTAGCAGAGATGTCTTCAACTGGGGTAGTTGGATGAAGATTTTCGATTACTATTCTTAACGATTTTTCCGAGTGGAGTTGGTATGTGTGATATTGGGCATTAATGTCTTTAAGGAGTCGGATTAGTTTCCTGAAATTGTCAGGGCTGTCTGTTTAAATTTTAAGGTGGGCTGTAGAGGACTTACACGAAAAGCTGGTTGGGCCAATTAGGTTTCGGATACTGTTTCGTAATCCTATGTAGTCCAGGACGCCTTTGATAAATACGGGTGGAGGAAGAATAGGGTATTGGTGTATCATGTGTAGTATTCGATTGCCCCTGGGTGGAAGTTTCAAACAGGCTATCGATGTCTGTTTTCGTTATCGGGGTTTGGATTATCATCGTCAGCAATTAGAGTTTCATACCGGTTTGGTGTCACAAATAGTTTCGTTTTCTTGGCAATGATGGCAGATGGTGGGGCGGATGATGTAGATAAGGCGCGTTTGCCTTCATTAGTTTTTGTCTTATCGTTATTTTTTTGTTAATTTACGATTTTATTGTTGACAATCGTAATTGGGGAGACTGTTTGCTGGTTGCGTGACATAGCTTATCTGGTTGGGGTCCAAAGGTCGATACGCGGGCAGTGCCCGGGTTTGGTTATAGAGTGAGCAGTTGTGTGGGTATTGTATGTTTGAACTTAATGTAAATATTTTAATAGATGAGTTAAGTTATATAATATTACTTGTGGTCGGGGTGACCGAATTCTGAGAGCTGCTGATGACGATGTGTAAACACGTTGAAGAACTCCGTGAAGTAGAATCTTTCCTTCTTTCCCGTAGGGAGAGAAACACGATGTAATTCGAGAGCGACCGAGCGAGCAGGTGCACCGTAGATCATGCTCACACGGCTTACGGTGAGGAACTAATTGAAAAATTTGATTTGATAAAAATAAGATCTGTATCTAAACAGTTTTAATTGATGTATTTTTTTGCCTCTTTGATGCTAACTGCATTGTCGTTGTCAAATTTTTCAAAAACAGAACGAATTATATTTAAATTATCGCAGTAATAATTAAAGACCGTTAACCATGTACCCCGTCGGGTAATGATAGGTTCTGGAGGAAGACTTATTTCAGGAGCTTCAGATTTAAAAAGTTGTATACAGTTTGGAGCTTTTCTAAATGTTTTTTTAACACTGGCTATGACTTATCAACTAATTTGAAATGTCCTCTAACTTCTGCCACTCTATGAAGGCCATGGGTAGCACATGTCACATGAATCATTTTAGTATACAGTGCTCTAAGTGCTGTAGCCGATTTTATCGTGTACGACGAAGCGTCAGTTAAAAATAGTAACACTCTATCACGTTCAATACCCATTAACTGAATGGAATCATCAAACAGTTTGCTTATCGTTGAATAATTGGTTTTTTCCTGTTATTCCGAATTTATTAAAAATATTTTCCCCGGTTGATCTACTTCCAAAATGCCCACTATAACATTTACAATGAAATGCCCTTCTATGTCTGAAGTTTCGTCAATGTTAAGCCATAAATTCTTGTTAGAAATTTCTAATTTAATTTTTTCCATTGTTTCAATATAAATATCATCGACATATCCTTGTATTAATGTAGATTCCAT